TACTACCTCAGAATCCTTGGGTTATGCAAATGGCCAACGCACTAGGCTACTAAATTGAAGGGTGTAGGTTTGAGTCCATGCAGAGGTGCCTTGGGAGAAAGGTCTTGAATTCTACTTCCAGAAAAACTTCCGATGACCACAGGATGTCACCAGGCATTGAAGCCAAGCAGAAGGCAACTGGCTTCTGCTTTTCACTTCATGCTTGCTTGGCCTTCAACACTTGAGGGCCCACTCTTATGCATATTTCCTCCTACCGTTGCTATGGCAGCTACAGCATGGACAAGAACACCCTTCTTAATAAACCCACAGGCAGTGCCACCGCCCACCATTAGGGCAGGGCATGCGTTGCTCAATGCCAGAAGGTGCCCTATAGCCTAGAATACATGACTCGCACCCCCTGGAATTGTGCGTTCATAACTAAGGATGTTTGTTGTCCGTGGATGATCGTATGGAGAGGTAGCAAGGCCATCCTGCTTCCCTTGTGCTAAGCTTATCACTACTCCCTCTACACACACACACACACACACACACACACACACACACACTGGTGCTCACCCCATCTCCTGAGCCTAGGTCCCAGCTTGATATGCCGGGCTTCAGTGCTCTCTCTTCAGCCCATACATTTTTTGAAACAAGGTAGCTTTTTCCTCAAACTGGAAACAGAAAAAGTTCCCCTCTGAGAGTTGGCTACCATGTAGGCATGACATGGCAGGCAAGAGAAGCAGAATGGCAACGCTGAGGGAACCAAGAACGCCCAAAGGGGAGACAAGGTTTAAAGCTAAATCAAGATAGGATTTTGTCATGAAAGGGAGGACTGGCAAAAGCATCATTACAAGGCATTAACCTTGTTACACAGGCAGAGGCTGGGATTCAGAGAGAAATTACACGTAATAAACTAGACAGAATAGGCTGAGAGCAACATTACTGATTATGCCCTAAGGGGAGAGAAGGGCAAGATTTAAAAAAAAAAAAAGGACCGAAAAGAGTAAGAATAATATCTGGACCCAGGGGGCCGGCTGCACCATTTCCCCCCTTTTCTGCTGTCTCCCTAGGTATTCACTCCACTTTTGTTAGGAGGTTTCTGGGGAGGCTTGTCTTTCTTTTGTTTTCATTTGCTGAAATGAGCATAAGAAAGCCATTCCCGGGGCTCTTTTTTCCATTCAAGGGGACCTGTCCCTTTCTGTGTGTCTCCAGCACAAAAGAACCCGTTTCCATTCAGCCAGCAGCCCCTAGAATTTGCAGGTGGTCCAGGCCTCCTTTTGCCCACTTTCTTCCAGGTCCACCTTTGTCATTGGCTGTAAAGTCCTGGCTGGGGCTGAGGCGCTGCAGGGTGGGGAGAGGACCAGGCCCTGCGAGGAAAAGTCAGAGCTTAAGGCTCAGCCCCACAAGTCCTGAGTCATTGTTTATACAACGTGACTGGCCTTTAGCTGCAAGAAATACAAAGCCCAACCAGACCGTAGGGCTTAAATCACGACATTGATTGTTAACTTCGTAAAAGGTATAAAGGATGGAGCTTCTGTCGCGCAGCGCTGACCTCAAGAACCTAGAGTGTGTCCATCTGTCTTCTGCAGCCAATCGTCGTTCCTGAGCTTTACGCTCCAGCCTGAACCTCATGGGAGGAAAGTGGCTCCCGTCTTTCTACCCTGTTGACCTCACAGACTGCATTCAGAGGGAGGAAGTAAGGAGAGAGGACAAAGAGGCTACCCAAACGCCTCCTGTTATCAATGAGAAAATCCATTCCCAGTAGCCCCTCCAGACTTCCTACACGTCACTGGTCAGAACCAGGCCTCATAGCCATGCCTCGTTCTACCACCTCCACCACCACCACCACCAATTGCTCATGAGCCCATTTGAACTTAGTGATCCCCATGCATGTCAGAGGAAAACTGTGCTCTATGGGGTTTTCCAGCGGTGGTTCCTTTGAAGTGGATCACGAGCCCTTTGCTCTGAGGTGCCTTTGCGTGGACTCAAACCTCCAGTCTTTGAGTTGAGCAGCTGAGCATACCAACTACTGTACCACCCAGTTCAACGAGGTGGAAGCACAAGTATCTGACTGCGGTGATGAGCTTACCATTGGGGCCGGGCTACTCATGCCGTCTCCCAGGCCTGAGCTCACCACTCCCTGAGCCAAGTGAGAGTCCTTCCGAGAAGGAAGAGAGCAGGAGTAACCGTGGGGTGGCAGCAATGTTTGCTTGTAGTGCTGCTGGGTGCCAGATACTGGTCTAGCCATATGTTCTGATTCCCTCAGTCCTCGTTGTAGGAGCAGGGAGTGATGGTGCTTATACTCACCTCCATTCATAGAGGGAGAGCCTGAGCCACAGCTCAATCATAGAGATAAAGAAGGAAGGACACAAGATTACTGATCTAGTAAGTGGGAGTGCCAGCATTCAAACCCAGGCAGCCTGGCTCACTACCCTATACTGTCTTTATTAGGTAAGATGAAAATCCTCCAGGGAGCAAACAGTAAGCTCTTAGCACACTTTAGCTGGTGGTGTGGTGGGCTGTGCATCGAGGTGCCAATCACAGGGTGAGCTATTCAAAACCACCACCTTGATCCTAGGGAGGAAGAGGAGACTTTCTGTTCCTCCAGCAGTCTGGAAAACCCACTGGGTAGTTCTCCCCTGTCCTCTGTGGTTGCTATGATTGGAACCGACTCGTTGTCGTGAGTAGTTTCCTTGCTTGGCCCTACCACCACCACCACCACGACTCCTGCTCTCGGTGTTCTTTCTTGTCTTGTCAACCCGACCAACTAGGCCCTGGATTAAAGAAATGCAGCAGGGAGCCACTGGGTGAGAACCAAGCTTGAATGTGCGCCTGACTACTCTGGCTCCTGGCCCCAGACGGCCATGAACCCTACCACCCGCCTTTGAAATTTGGAGTAGTGACTGCCTGGCAGTACTACTTGACTATTCTAGTGATCGAGGACGTGATTTAGAAAAGGACCGTGATTGAGGACCAGTCACCAGTCAGGGAAGGACTTGAGACGGGCCGAGAATTAAGAACCAATATCTCCTTTCTTCCCTTTCAACTTTTGAGCTGCTTTTGAGTGTGCGTGCGTGCGTGTGTGTGTGTGAATCTTTCCCACCTCCGCAAGCGTCGGTTACGGCATCATGATTCTTGGTTACTCAGAAGGGCTACAGTTATTTAGCACCCACTGCCTTTCAGAATTAGGGCAATGCTCTCCCAGTTGGTCCACAATCTCCAGACACGATCTTTCTGTGTCATGGGAGGAAGGCAGAAGGAACGCCTGCAAACAAAGATGGTGCACTAGCACATTTCGCTGGCCCACACCGAGACGATGCCAACTTCTCCTGGCTGACCTCTCTGGGGTGTTCACATGTTCCACAGAAATGATGAGCACAGTCAACTGGTCTAGAATTTGAACAAGGTGCTTTTATTTTAAAGCAAAGTGTGGGTTGTGGTTCTCTTTCTTTTCTTTTAAACCTAAAGGGTCACCCAATTTTTCTTTTTTTTGGGCTTATAGTCACGAGGCTGCCTTATCTAAACAGTGATCTAGTGTTTTGATCCTTAGACCCTTTTTTCGCTCTTAATTTTAATTTTAACCAAATTGCTCCTCATCTTCCCCAATGCATGAAAAGAAAGTAATCTTTTAACAGAGGGCGGAGGGGGGTGAGGATGGGGGTGAGGGAATCTCTAATGGGCTTTCCCCCAAACATCTTAAACCTAGTTCAGTGTAGTCTATTTTATGCAAATAAGTCACTTTCTCTTAGGTTATGCCTTGAAAAGTGATCCTAGTATTGGAGCCGGCTTATCTTCTCCTCGCAGTGCAAACTTTATCAAAGAAATATAGGCGACACTTTAAAGGCTTCAGAAATCTATTTAGCCCATGAATCCATTTAGTCTCGATGTTAATGAAACTTGGTGGGTTTAAAAATAATGAATATTTAATAAGACATAAATTGAAAGACATAAACACTGTTGGCAATAATATAATGAAGTTAATACGTCTTGGTTCTCCCCCTCTGTCCCCACACCACCTCCCCTCCCCAGAAACCGGGCGAGGTTAGGAGTTGCCTGATGAAGTTTGCCGGCTCTCCCATTGGCTGAGATGTGAATGTGCCTTAGAAAACCTTAATTCAGTTGGCAACTGAGCTCTGGCAGATAAAGTCCGCTATCGCAGTGTGCTCAGTCGCTTCAGACGGCAACGGCTCTTTCTAGCTCCCGATCTCCCTGAGATTTGTGCTACACACTCCGTTTCCTGTTGTTGCAGCCAGGAAACAGCATGAAGCACTTCATTCCTTTAAACTCGAAAGAAAGAGACATTTTGGTCAACACTCTCCCTGCTCTCAGTTGAAAGAGGGGCTTTATTGAATGATGAGGAACAAGTGTCTGCTTCTGTGTGCTCCAAGCCTCAGACAATGTAAATGGCCTTGGCGTTGCGAGTCAGAGCTCCCCGCTTCCTCCTCAAGAGTGTCAGCATCAGGTTCAGACTGTCCACTCGGAGTCTTAGCCACCGTCCATGACCAGGCTTGCCTCGCTCCCACCAATGAATGACCCATCTTTGCGCTTCCCAGTAGACCTCTCTTGTCCAACCCTCTTTGCCACTAGGATCGCTTGCCTCACATCTTGGGATATGGCTCGCCTACCTAATGCGCATCGCAGCGGGAACTTGCATACAGCCAGACTGCCTCTTTCCCATCCTGCTGCCGGCTCCCTTCGGGCAATGAAGGCGACAAGTCGGCTTCCTACATTAGCTGGGGGCGTGTTACATGGGCCGCTAGCTCACTGCTGGCAATTGGTACATGCCAAAAGCATAAACCAATGCTTTTCCACGGGTTCTGAGGAAAAGGGATTTTTGCACCTAATGACAGCCAAAGGCTGTGCTTGTGGTGATCTTGCCTGAGAAAATGCATTTAGGGCACAAGAATGGGATCCGCCGGAGGGGGGCGAGCAGTGATGTAGTCTCATTATAATGAGAATGATCACCATGAATAATTATCTTCTTTTTTTAAAATTTGTGTGTTTGTGTGAATGTTCAGAAAGAAGACGAAAAACCCGAAAGAATACAACCGATCGCCTCGTCCACCTTGATCCATTCTGACCTGACTTCCGTGTACGGCACTGTGGTTTTGAACAGGACTGTTTTGTTCTTGGGGACTGGAGATGGCCAGTTACTTAAGGTGGGTTTTTTGGGACTTCTTGAATGTCTATTTAAATAATGATTTCTTCTTTTTCTTCTTTTTTCACCTTTTTATTGCTTCTGGGTTATACCCCTAAACGATACCAATTGCATTGTGAAACCCCCAGAAGTGGCCTGAAAGAAATCCGGGCGCTCTAGCTGTAATAAGTACTCTACCCGTGTAAGGAAACGTCAGCCGCTCTGCTTCTGGGAGAGTGCCAGGACAGTTTCCCTTCCTTACTCACGACTCTTTGGGTGCGGTAAATGGGGGTCTGCTCTCTAACCGGTCCCTGACTCACTTTCGAAGACACTTAACCTTTCAGTCCCAGCTCCTTTGTAATGGAATGCACAAAGCACCTGACTTCTCACAACTTCTAAGAGAGGAGAGATTATAGGGCTGGAAATGGAGAGGGGAAAACAGCAACAACAGGTGTTCTTTTCCTTTAGCCCACTTGCCACCCACAGAGGGTTTGGTTTCTGCCCTTTGTACCCACACACATGATGGAGAGGTTAGAGATCTGGAATCCTTGGAAGAGACTCCATTTGCCTTTTATCTCTGAAGCCTATTTTATTTTCTCACTCCACGGACTGATTGAGATGTTTGTTCCATGAGAGGAGAAATGGGAAAAAAATAAAACCCAGAGACAGACTTGCCCCAAATTACATAGTGGCCACGGTATTTTCAATTGCCTCACATGCGTGTGAAAGTTGGACACTGAAGAAGAAGAAGAAGGTGGAAGAAGAATCGATGCATCTGCATTGTGGCACGGAATTTTGTTGGCATCATGGACTTCCAAAAGAACCAGCAAATCTGTCCTGGAAGAAGTACAGCCAGAATGCTCCTTAGGAGCCAGGATGGCCAGACTTCATCTCACATACTTTGGACATGTTAGCATAAGAGCACTTGTGCAGATGGCACAGGCCTGGGTAGAGCTTTGTTCTGTTGTGAACAGGGTCATTGTGAGCCAGAACTGACTCGACAGCACCGAACAACAGCAAACAGAGTGGCCATTGTGTCACTTATACCAGTGATGGCGAAATGGCACAGGTCTTGGCAATGTTTTGTTCGTGGTATTCATAATGTTGCCACAGCTCGAGGTGACTTGATGGTAACTAACAACAACAGCATTGTATCATGGCTTTTATTTTAGTCTCCACCATGTCAACTTGAGACTATTAAGAGTCTCAAGGGGTGGAGTTCAGCCTGTCAATCAGGTCGCAGCTTCATGACCTCATTTGGAGGCTCAACGGAGGTGAATAGCTCACTGGAGGCTAGATACACTCTCTCTGCTACACGTTCTTGTTGACAAGCCACATGGAGATACACTAGTGGAACCAGAGTCCTGGAGCTTGGAGGTGTCATGTGCTGAGATGCTTCCATCGCCACTGGATCCACAAGACTTTTCACTCTGATCTCCCTGCATTCAGCATCATTGCATGTGTTGTGTGAATTTATAGACTGGTCTAGGACATATGGGCTAATATTGGACTTATGGACTTGATCTGGAGTGGACTTGGCTGGGATGTTTTCTTAATATACAATTACTCATTGATATAAAGTTCTCTATTACACACATATGAGTGTCTCTCTGGATTTGTTTCTCTAGTCAACCCGGACTAACACATTCCCCCTCCTCAGCTGGTAACTCCTTTGTCTCTCAGGCTCTGTCAGCTTCTATCCTGTGTGAATACTGAGGGATCTCTTTCTAAACTGACCTGCATAACTAGCTGTGTGACTGGGTGAATCGCTGGACCTCTCTGAGCCTCCAGTTCCTCATCTATAAAATGAGATTGTACTAGATAGCCTAGAAAACTCCTTTCTGCTTTGATGGTCTCGTGCTCTGTGCATCAGTCCCTCATAAACCTATTCACTCGCTCTTCTCCAAATGTGGATTACATGACCCTGCTTGTGCCTCTCTACTCTGGCCGCCCCCACTGCCTGGCAGGTGTGCTTTCCCTCTCTGCTTTACTGATTCCTGCCTAACTGCCCACCACCCCCTTGTCAGTTTGCTCTGTCAGTTGGTGCCCTTCAAATGTCACCTCTTCATCGAGCCCGTCTACGTCTTCAGTGATCTTGTTTTTGCCTTCGCTCCTACAATACGTATGCTCTGTATCGTCCTTCTAGCTCCTTACAAGGGCCTTGCTTTGTTGTCTCAGTTCCTCCCTTACATTTGCCTTGCCTCCCCAACTGGATTCTCAGTGTCTTGAGAAGGAAGCCACGAATTCCCCACAGCCCTTAGAGGGCCGGGTGTCCGGTAGGCATTTGATTTAATCTGTTTTCTCTGGAGGAAACCCAGTAACATATGGGAGGGAATATGTTTGTATACATATTCTTTTAAAGTACACATTGGTCATCTTCCTATGGTAGTGGCTCCGTTTCCCGGGGAGAGGTCAATACCCATCCTTCATCCTGGACCGGTTGGTCGGTGCTACCAGGAAACGTCTGTGGCTTCTCCAACCTGGTGAGGCTGGTGGAGGCCTTTCCCCGGGCAGAAGTCTCCATCCCTCCTAACCGGGCCTTCTCACCAATGATCTTTTCAGATTTGGGATATTTTTGACAAGTGTTTTGACAAGAACACTGTTTCCCCAAAGCCGAGCCAACCAAACTGTTACACGGTGAGTTGGAGGTGAAGGAACACTGGGCTATAAATAGTCCCTCGTGGGATGGCCTGGTCTCGCCTGTCCTGTCTGTTCACCCCGACCGTTGGTGTGCGGCCAGCCAGCGCGTAGTGACTGTGGCCTGGGAGCAGGGAGGAGCGTCGGCTTTGCCTGTGGAGGAGGAGGAGGGAGCTGGCTGCCCCTTCAAAGGCCACAGCAAATAGCAAGGGCAGGTTGTTTTGTTGGTTTTGTTGCGGCTAACATTTATACAGTGCCTCCTCTGCGCCGGCCACTCTCCATCGTCTAATCCGCCTTTAATCCTCTCCACAACCTCTTGAGGTACACATGCTGTGGTTGTTAGCTGGGGTTGAATTGCTTCCAAGCGGCGGTGGCCTCCCATGGACAATGAAACAAAACGCAGCCTGGTCCTCTGCTGTGCCCGTGCATGCTGTGGTGTGGACTGCGGTGAGCAATCCGTAGCGTTTTCATTGGCTGATTTCAGAGACAGACGGCCAGGCCTTTCTTCTTAGCCTGTCTCACTCTGCCGGCCACTCTAAAGTGTGTGCAGTATCCTAGCAGCACACAAGCCTCCATCGACAGGTAAGTGGTGGCCGCACATGAATTACCATGGCTGGGAATCCAACCTGGGTCTCCAGCATGGACCGTGAGAATTCCACCGGGGAACCACCAGAGCCCTGCAGGTAAGTATGTGTGTTAGCCTGGGCTCTCTAATGAAGCACAACCAGTGACCCTTGTATGTGTCGTGTATAGAAAGGGATTTATATCAAGACATGGCTTACATAGCTGTAGAAATAGGTAGGTCCAGCCTGGTTCAAGCCAGGTGTCTTGTGACTCATGGAAGCTGATGAACAGGAAGAAGGAGGATGAAGCAGAGACATCAGGGGGCACAGGTTGGTGGATGCAGAGGCCCAAAGTTGGCTGAATGAATCCACTGTACGTAGTTCGCTGAAGGCTCCTGGGATCACCAGGAACCTTCAGGAACCAGATACAAGATCCAGCTCCTGCAGAGGGCCAAGGGCCAGAGAGGAGTTGACTGCTCAGTCTCTCTCTGTCATACAAAAAGGCTGATAACATCAAGGTGGTATCATCAGGCTGTGAATTGATTGACAGGTTGAGCTCCGCCCCTACCCTTTCCCAGACGTGTCTAGTTGACTTCTTCCCTAGCCATCACCATGTACCGTTTTCATGGAACAAACAAGGACACTGAGGTCCCGAGATGCTGCCGTCTGAGGTCCCGAGATGCTGCCGTCGCTTGCCCAGGATTGCACAGCAGCTGAGCAGAGATCTGAACCTGGATCAGCGTTTCGTAGACGGCACTGTTAACCCTCAAGCTACACTGGCTTTGTAACCTCTGCACGGAAGACAATCTCGTCCTGAGAGTTTGGGGAGGCATGCTGCTGGGGGTCTGTGCAGAGAAACTGGCGCTCCTGAGATGGTTAGGCATCCTCCGCCCCAGGGAAGAATTCCACCCCTGGAGGGAACATGGCTGACCATCTGACCAAGGGAAGACTGCGGCTCTGGTAGATCCCTGGGGATGAAAGTTCCCCTCTCAGAGATGACCTCAGGAGAATCCCCTCTTTCCACACAAGTTCTGAGTGACGAGCTGAGCTGGGCCCACCAGGCTCCCTAGACCAGCCCAATAATTCCTGAGACACCCTCATTTATCCTCTGGAATGCAGCCCTAAATTATCCAGAGAACCAAAGTCCCGGGATTGTACAGACGGGTTGGGAGCCACCATTAATCCCCAAATCCCTTTATTCAAAAGCTTCACACTTCCTTCTTGCCAGCTTGTCACCGGAACTGTTAGAAAAGACGAGCATTGATAGACCTAAGTTTGGCTTCTTAAGCCACAGCGTGGAGGAACTAACCAGTGGTGGAGAATAGTACCAAGCCCAACGCAGATGCAGACGCAGGGAGGAAGAGAGAGGGAAAGGGCTTGGATCGCCGGCAGCCTGACTCATCCGTTTCTCAGTGATCAAGAGTTGACAGCATTTCGACAGGAGACGTGCACTGGAGTCTACGCTTGTTTGGATGAGAGACAGACAACAGCGACTGGGGGCCAATGGCTGTTTTGGTTTGTTTTAAACAACAACACAAAAAAAGAAAAAACAAAACCCGAAAAACCTTGACTTCTCCAATCACTGAAAAGCTCGTGGAGTTTCTGTAAAATTTGATGCAGCTATAAACCTCATGCTATTAAAATGTTTCCTCTTGCCGTAAAAGTAATGTATGTTACACAGAAAGCTGTAAGCTAGCGCAGGGCGGGCGAGGCAAAGGGGGAAGCAAAAAGATACCCATCATTTCATCACGTCGAGGCAGCAGCAGTCTACATGTTGGGTGCTGCTTTATTTGTTTATTTATGTCTTTATTTTTATGTGAGA